AAATACCTACACCCAAGAACCCAAGTAAGTGTAACACAGAAAGTGACAATAGTAGCATTCGACATAATCACCATTAGATATCCCTAAATCTTACCCCAAGTAGAAAATAAATTTTATTAGTTCCATTCAAAGCTGTCATCATCTTTAAAGTCGGTGCTGTGCAGTCTTCTGATAAGTGCCAGTTGATCCAAAATTGGTTTTAAAGGCTTTTACTGTATGCCAATGGTGATCTATCAAGCCTAAAGTATCCTAATTTTCCATTTTGCACAGTAGACTGCAATTTTAGCACTTTGCTGCAAACAGTTAGAGAGGGAATGAAAGGCAATTCAAATGCTGGTATAACAACCAGCAGAAGGAGGAAAACCATTATGCTTTCCCCACAGAACCTGTTGTGACAAAAGGATATTACACATTCACAAAGCATCTCCCTTTCTCACTCTTCCCTGAACCAGGACTTCTTGTTTCCTTCCCTCCAACTGAACACAAGCACAAAGTAAATCAACAGACTTGGCCATTCATACAAGCTCCAGCAATGCAAGTTTAACAATGTAGCTGGTAGGCATAGTGTTCCTCACTCTGGCTCTGTGAGGAACCTGAAACCTGGTAGACTAAGTCTAAAATGAGAGATGATCAGGCACTCTTTAACATATGTACAGTGTTTACACTGTGACACACTTTTGAATTAAATTCTATACGGAGCTGACATAATAGATGGTATCTGACAAAATGGTTATGTGAAAGCCACATGGAGATGTACTTCACAGTGCCCTGAATCTGTCAGATAATTCCTTCATGATAATGCTGGCCTCGAGCTTGAAACATGGTTCAAAAGTCATGAAAGTTCAGGTAATTACTCTAGTCTTTTCTCCTCTTTTGAACTGGCAGCTCTATTTGTGGTTGAAATGGCTGGGCTGCTGACACAATTGTACTCATTCAGAAACCAAATATTTGTAGAATAAGTATAATCTTTTCAGGGAAAAATACTGTCAAGATCAATCCTAACATTTCCTTTTTTAAATAGAAACAATTTTTGCATGTCTTTTGTGGCTGTGCCAACTGTAAAATGCTCTTGAAACATTCGCTGCACACCACCAAAACCTTAAGGAGTTTTTCATTCCAATAATTAAAATGTAGGAAAAAAAGAAGAAAATTAATTTATCTTTAAAATCCTTTTCAACAGCAAAGCCATCCGACTCAAGAGCTGCAGAGAGCTAAGTAAGCTCCTTAATTCCCTCCTGTTTAACCCTCTCCTGAAGGCTGATGTTCTAATGAGATATCATTAGAAGACTTTGTCCTTTGCCATGAAGCATTAGAAATGATTCCACAGAACAGCCCAGGATAAAATGGACACGCAACTCCTGTAAACTGGTTAACACAATGCATCTTTGGAGTTTGTATACTTTTCTACAACAGGCAAGCTACTGAATGACAGGTCTGCCTCCAGTCAGGCCACAGAGATCAAAAAGACCCACACAAAGAGAAGGAAACCTTGCCATAACTGTTGGGATACCAGAAACCCAGACACTGTAGTAGTTTATAAGTCTAGCACTTGGTTCAGCAGTGATGATTTTTTTTTCCTGTGGCTGCCCGCCAACGAACAAAAGATAATCTTGCTCCTAACCAATCTAGACATTAAATGCACAGGAAACCTTATCTTCTGACTTATGACAGAAGATGACAAGCAGAGCTGGCAAAAATAAAGACACAGTGCCCTAGAAGCCAAGGGCAACAACTCTAAGTACAGCAGGATTTTTAACACCAAACCAACTCTTCATCTTGGCACTAGGAGCTGATTCATCTGCTTTGCCAGCCACAGATGTCACATTGGGGAAAATCTCACTTGGGCAGTATAACACAGAAAATAAACTGAAGACCACACAATGTTCTTATTCATTCTGTCTTGACACATATGAAAACAATATCTAAATCAACCCACATCTTCGTAAACAAATCCTCAGGTGGTTGATTCTGTTTCAGGAATGCAAAACTTGGTCAGTTACTATTCACCTTAAAATAATTTCTAAGAATATAGAATAAGTGTTTACATAAAACATGCCAGTAAGAAAAAAAAAATCTTTGAAATTCTTAAAGAAGTTTAAAAACCTATGCAGAAAAAGAAGGAAACAAACAAAACCAAATCTAAATCAGACACAACAGTGTCAAAGAGATTATTTCCTGACCACCATTCAGGCAGCAGATTGAAGCACAGCAGCACCTTGATTTAAGCACACATCATACAGTTAAACACTGCAAAGGGCCGAAGCTAGATTTGTGAGGAAAGCTTTACCATGGCCATTTCTGGACTTAAATGCAACAAAATTTAAGTGAAAAGCTCTGCCAGCACAGCTGTTTGTGTATGCAAAGTTCACTTCAGTTAAGTCTGCTTATAACAACATTCAAGTCTTGACTAACTTTATTTTAGTTAAATTTTAACAGATTACTAAATTAAATGAAGACAGAACTGCTGACACAAATCCATCAGTGCAAGAACTCAAACTCATTTATATGCAGGCTAACTGCAAGTACTTCATTTTATCTAAGTGACTGTACCTTAACAGTGATGTACACACCACACTCCATAAATAAGCTCTGCTGCAGTGTAATTTTGTTTTTCAAACAGCAGCCCTAGCAGTCTGAAGAGTTTCACACAGAGCAAGTACAGCCCCCAAACAGGAGGAAGACCTTAAAAATGTTAAGGCTTGTTCACTGGAAAGTTTCCCCATCACTGCATTTTCCAGTAACAAAGATGTTGTCAGAAATGACAATTTTTCCTGTCCCCTGATGATGCCTTGCTAGCATTTGGTTATAAGCCATAAAGCAGGAATAATTTCAGCCTGTCAGGAGTCTAGCTAATGCCCAGTTTCCCCCTAGAGAGAATTCCTGTCAAATGTAATGAGAGCTCCAAAGGCCCTTTCTACAACATAATGAGCACTTAGGCCATGCTGGTGATCAGCCAGCAAAAAGCATCAATTTGAGCCTGGCTACACCCTTGGGGGTAGACGTCACCAGTTAATAAGAATTATGATTACTATCTGTCAAAAGCCTCCTCAGAACTTATCGTTAGCAGCAGAAATTCAGAAGAATGTCATTGTTAGGCTTTTTTTATTTTTTTTGCTTCCTGTAATCTAAGGCCACCTACACACTGAACTGCAACACCATTTGGCATCCCTCACTGCAGGCATGTAAATCAATAGCCTTTAGCATGAAGGTGCTACTTTTACCAGAAATTAGAATTACTTAATATGTAAAAGAATAGTATTTGAGACTCACATCCAGAGACATGTATTTGTAACTTCAAAACCCTATTATTTTCTTAACAGCATGCACAGAGCAAGTGTGCACTACTCTCCCCAGCTACAACTAACACAGATATAATGCTCTGTCATAAAAGCTTCTGAAGCATCACTGCCTACTGGGTACATAATTCTAATTGCCATACATACAGAACATTAAACCTTTATACATATGTTAAGGTCAAAGTGGAAACCTTAGTCCTCACCCACTTTAACCCTGTGGGTTTAATTGATTTTACCTAAAGTTAATTCCTAGTACACTAACTGAAATCACAGATTCTTTTCAAAGACCTCCTGAAAATGATATCCATTTTGCAGCAAATGAGCTTCCTAGCCAGATACTGGCTTCCTCACAGGTTACAGTATGCCAAGAATTGGTTGAAGAGAAAATATGCAAGAAAAAAATAATCTCAAAATCACAAAGCTATGAAAAGCCACCTCACAGAAAAACTGACATTCTCCTAAAGCACAAGCCACAAGAAAATTAGTTAAGTTACAGTACAGAATCAAGTCAAATACTAAGCTTGCTATTCCATCTGGTTATTTAGTGTTTTAAAAAAAAAGAAAAAAAAAGAAGTTGTCATAATACAACTCCTCTTAATGGCATTTTGAATTGAAACAAGTGTACCGCCAAAACCCTAAAAATACCTACCCAGATTTGCAGACAAAGTATCACGGAATTACAATGCCATCTTACCAAGTATGATATTTTTGGGGAAAACAAAACAAACAACGAAAAAAATTCAAAGAGTTCAGAGTTACAAAAGCAAAATTCAACTCCGTAATTCACTTGCTTAATGAATGTCTTTGAATATACTGAAGATCTGAAGCCTGAACTAATCAATTTCTTCGCTGTGCCCTAGCCGGTCAGCCATGCTCTTTAATTTAATGAAACAAGAGTTTTAGATGAAATAGCACATACACATCAAGAAAGAATTGTATTGTTGCACTTTGAAATGTGTCCAACTGTGCAACTTCATCTAATGATAATTTTTTTAAGAGGCCATCGATTTCTGAAAGACTTATTGTACTAGCATCTTGATGAAAAAGTGAATGTCAGCATATCTACAGAATACTTACACCCTGCCATTAATGCTTTATTTGGCAGACAATGACTACTCAATTGAGGGTCCTCTGGGCTGTGCAATCATTTAGCTTTTCTTCTCTCATGAGGTCCTTAGTGTCTTGTTCCAGTTCAATACTCTTTTTATTCACCATTATAGTGGCCATAAGTGTGAATTTTATGGGAACTTGCAAACTCATAGTCATAACTAGAGCTTTCCAAGTCACTAATCTCTTCATACCTTTATAAGGCAGGGATTTGAGTAACTATGACTACATATGCTACACAGACATAGGATCAGTTCTACATGTCAGAGCCTCCACCAGTAACAAAACAAACAAAAAAAACCCAACCCAAAAAACCCCAAACTTGTAAAGTACAGAACTTCATTTTTAAAACCACAAAAACAAGATCTTTCCTTTTTGTCACAGTCTTTCAGAAGCAACACCAAAAAAGGCATTGCTGCTTAACCCAATCTACACCTCATCTGACAGGAGGTAGGCAAAGGTCTACTAATCAGGCGATTGATTCAGGCTATCGATTCAGACATGATACAGTCATCTGAGCATAAACAGCACAGGTACATTTAAATGCACCACACATTTAAATGCAGATTTTGTGGCTTAGAAAACAAAATGTCTTACCTGTTTGTGCATTTCAATGTTTAATCCATACGACATTTCATAGTACTGCAAATAAATGAGCATACATTATTTTCTTATGCTGACTTACATTGTATTAGGAGATATTTACTGAAATAAAGATAAAAAACAAATATACTTACCATCACATAATGCCTCTGCATTTCCGTCTTTTCACTTGCCAGTTTCTCACATTCCAATTTAAGGCTACAAAATAGACCATGCTTTAATGTAACATGTCCTTTTTTTGACACCTATCCTCCCTATTTGTATTTTGACAGAGGCTGCTAATTAAAAAAAAAAAAAACCACCAACTCATAAACTAACTTGCAATATAGAAAGACTTAATTCACACTTTAAATAAAAAGGCCAAAGAAAAAAATTAAAGAACATTTCATGGGTGCAGTATGCGACCTGAACTGTCTACAGAACCTAAACATATCCACCCTTCATACTTTGACAAGGAGCTGCTATTAAGTGCTACAACTTAGAATTTAGAATAGTATCTCAATTTCCCTGAAGTACTTCATTTCTTTCTATACAGCTGTTTAGTAAATGACTGTCAAACAACATCACTTACACTTACAATTACAATTACAACTTGAGTAATATTTTTATCTCAAATATATTCTAGCAAATGTTACCTTGCCCAGTGCTCAAAAACTGGTAATTCTGACTATCATTTACTGGCAAATTTCTTTTCCATTTTTGTTTTCATAAACAAAAATAAGTTGCATTTGGCACTCACACACCTCATCACAAACAGTGATATAATTCTGACTACTTTAACTGAGAGACTCAATGTTCCCTTTGTTTTCGATCAAACGGATTTTTTTTAAATGATACTTGAAAGCATCCTATGGAATAGTTAGTGCGCGAGCAGTACTTTTCACTTACAACTACAAAACCGGATGCTTAGAGTTTACATTGTATTTCTTAAGCAACAAATGGCTTAAGCAAGTTAATGATTTTTGGTAAGACTACAGTATCATAGGTAAAGGAAGAGGAAGCATAACCAAAACCAAGTGATTTCTGACTGGGAAACCTGTAAAGCTTTTATTTCTCTTCAAATAGTCCAGGTGCACACAGGTACAAAAATAAAGGAAGGTTAGTGCTCCTGAACACCAGATGCCCAGGGTCAGAAAGATCCTGTACCCTAAATCTCTGAAAAGACCTCAGCAGCTAGCACACACCCACAAAGAACTTCTGAAGGGCAGAGTAGCAACGAGGAGCACATCCCACAACTTCCATAGATTCTGGTAAAGTTTGTGTTGCTACTCTAAGTATTCCCTGGCTCTTAACCACGGGACGCTGGAGTTTTATTAATTTTTGTATTGACACCACACACAAATGCGCAAACATGAGAAGCAGGTAGCCTCCTTAACGCGCTCTGCCACAGAATTGGCACAGGTTCTTGTATCCCGTTCTTGATATACTGAAATGACCCCTCCACACACGGTTTCCCCAGACACACTACGGTTTTTCCAAATGCACAGAGGTGCCGAAAGCTCCAGTTTCGACAGTTCAGCTTTCGCAGCTGCCCGGGAAATACGGGCCCGAGCAGGGCAGGGCAGGGCAGGGCAGGGCAGGCTCCCCGTACGCGCCCGGAAGCCCCCGCCCGGCCGCGGCCCGGGGCCGCCTGCGCTGCCCTCAGCGGCCGGCCCGTCGGGGTCCCTCGGCGGGGCCCAGCCGCGACGCCGCACGCCACCGCCTGGACGCGCCCGTTCGGTGCAGCCCACCGCGCCCGGCCGGGGGCCCGCCAGCAGCCCCTGGTCCCGGGGCGGCCCGCCGGCTTCTCACCTGTGGTACTGCGCCTGGAGGAACTGGAACTCTTCTTTGATGCGGTCCAGCGACTCCGGGATGGTGAATTTGAAAGGCTGGCCCGCAGCCTGGTGCGGGGTCTGGCGCGGTGGCGGCACGGGAGAGAGATGCATGTTCAGACACTGCGCGGCCTCCCCGCGGGGAAGAGGAGGCGATGCTGCCCATCGCGGCCGGGCCGGAGTGATGCAGAGAGCGCCCGGCCCGGTCCGCCCCCGCCCCGGGGCGCTGCACACTTGCTACCCACCTTCCCGTCCCTCATCTGCGGTGGGACCAAGGTTAACCGCGCTCGGCTCCGACCCACCCGCTCCTGCCGCCGCCGTCTACACGAAAGCGGGGCGTGCCAGCTCCTCCCCGCCGACCCCCGTCGCGGAGGCACAGCCAGCCCCATTCCAGGAGCTGTGTTCGGCGGATGCTGCCTGGCCACCCCCGTCCGTCCTTCCCAAGGCAAGTAAGTTGCCCACGCAACAAAAAGTAGAGGGGGCCGTTCCGGCAGGCAGGATGAGCCGCTCCACCCCGGAGGGAATGAACTTGTGAGAGAGCGCCTTCCTCTCCCTCCCCCTAGCTCCAGCCGAGCAAGCGAGCCGGAGGTGCGCTCCCGACCGCGCGGCACTCGCCCCGCGGAGCGGGGGCCCAAGCCGTACTTACGGGGTGCCGGCTCTGGGGGAACATGGCTCCGGCCGCGGCGGGTCTCCCTCGCAGCGCGGTTCTCGCAGCGAAACTCTCCGCCCTGCCCCGGCTTCACACCCGGTGCGCCAAGGGGACAGGAGCGACGACACCCGCCGGCCGCCTTCCCTCCGCCGCCGTGGGCAGCAGCGGGGCGAGGCGCGGCTCAGTGCCCCCGCCGCGGGGACATCCCCCAGCCGCGGCGTCCTTTGTTGCTGTCGTTCCAAGGAGGGCTGAGGTGGCCGGGAAAGGCGGACGGGCCGCGCTTGGGACGGTCACAAGCGCTCCGAGCTCCTTCGCCGGCGCTTCGACCGGCGGGCGGCGCCCGCAACGCCCGGGCGCGGCGGGACGGGACCCGACGGGGCGCAGGGGGGAGGCAACAGCCGCCCCTCAGCGGGAGCGAATAATCCCCTTCACGGACTCGCAAGTGGTCGATGCGATTGTAAGGCCGGAAACCCTAAGCAGAGGCGACTCCTCTCTCCACTTCTGCCCCTTGTCAAAAGGGGAAAATCCAGCCTGAGGGAGCGGGTCGCAGTGTCCTCGGCGGGACCGTCGCAAGCCAAGGGGGTGAAATAAAGTCTCCAGGGAGGGTCGCGTTGTTCCCAGGCGTCGGCTGAGGGGCCAAACCACCGGCAAGACACAGAGCGATGAACAAGGGAGGAAGGCAGGAGGAGGAGAAAGGAGGCGGGCGGGGGCTCTTGCACAGCCGTTCCCGATCGGAGCAGCTCCAATAGCACATGCACGAAACGCTGGAGGGCAGAGGAAAGGGTACCACACACGCAGCACAGACTCTTCCGTTAGTTGCAGAGAAGTCCCTAGGACAAAAGGAAAGCAAACCCCTCAAGATGCTCGCTGGCTTTAGCGTCCAAGCAGCCACAGCCCCGTTGGGGAAGATTTAAAAAAAAATAAAAAAAAGAAAAAAGAAGAAAAATTTAAAAAAAAAATAAATAAATGAAAGCGTCCGTTTGAGGTTCAAATCAGACGGGAAGCTCCTTCGTGCAACAGCACCACTACAGCCTCCTACAGGCGGGCGCGTATCTGGGAGGTCCGCGTCTCACCAGAGCCCCCCGAGCGCGATACATCGCGGCAACATCAGCAGCAGCAGCATCATCCTCATCCTCACTCTCCTGCGCGGTGGCCCGCCGCTCCTCGTCGACCCGGGATAAAGTTCTCCCCAGCTGAAAAATCCGAATCCGAGCGGACGGGAACACCACCAGCTTCCTTTGCCCTGTCCCCTCCGCGCCGGCCAAGGGCAGAGGGAAGGGGAAGCCGAGGCGGCGGCCTGGCGGGCAGCGCTCGGCGGGACCTGAGCGCGGCCGTGGCCGAGCTGGACACGCCGAGCTCGCCCGCGCCGCTTACATTAGCACGCGGTTTCACACTCCGCCGGCTAACCAGCCGCGCGGCCCCGCCCACGCCGCCGCGAGGGTGGGCGGCCGCCCAATCGCCGGCCCCGCCGCCAACGTGGGCCCGTGACGTACCCCGGTCCCGCGGGCCAATGGCGAGAGCCGGAGTCGCGCCGCCTCTCGATTTTCTCTGGGAAGAGTTTTTGTGGAGGAGCGGCGGGAGCGCTCGAAGCTGGCCAATGAGAGGGCGCGGGGAGCGCTGCGCCGCGGGGGGGCGGGGAAGGTCGGCGGGAAGGAGAGCGGCGAGGCCGAGCTGTCCATCAAAGTAACGTGGGGCCGCTGTGCGGGCGGGCGGGGCTGTGGCAGCAGGCGCCCGGCGCCTGCGCGCGCCCAGCCCCTGCCTCCGCCAGAGCCGCGGGGCGGCCCCGTGCCGTGGGGGCAGCGCCCCCGTCACCACGCACCGCGCAGCGCCTTCACACCGCGCCCTCACGCCGCGCACCGCGATCCGCAAACCGCACACCGCGCCCCGCACCGCTTCTCGCACCGCGCTCCGCAGCACACCGCGACGCGTGCTGACACTGCGGCGGGAGGGTCGGGCGCACGACCCCGCCTCGTTCGCCAAACGGCAGCGGCAGGGCCGTGGCACCTGCTGACAGTGCACCGCAGAAAACACCGAGAGGAGGGATAAGCCCTCCCGCGTGCTTGTGCGGATCAGGGCAAGGCCAACTGCTGTGTTGGTTGGAATGACCCTCTGATCAGACGGAAGTTGTCCTTTGGGGAAAACTGGCTTCTTTTTAAGAGGGGCCTGATAGAGGAAAGCTGTCAATAACTTTGGTTTATAGGCCCACTTGAGATAGATGAGGGTCAAACAAATTCCACAGACTATGTGTGCTTGCTGAGGAGATGACAAATGGTGACATAGCTTGCAGAGGGAAGTAAACTTCAAAACATATCCACTATTAGCAAGTACCTTATTCATAGCAGAATTCTGCAATGAAGTGTGAAATACCTTTGGACTTAAAACAGTGCCTTAAGACACACTTTTGCTATTGGTATATACTTGTGTGCTACCTAAAAAAGGTCTTAGAATGTTGAATCACATTGTTTAAACATGGCAAGAGTAATGTTATAGTCTGCATTTTCTTATAATTCCTCACTAGCCTTTACTAGATAGGTATTACTTCCTTAGAACTGTATCGTGCTTTATCTTCTATCCGAAAGAAGGAGCAGTCTGTGTTTAAAATTTGATAGGAAATTTAATGTTTTGCAATATCAAGGTAAAGCTTCACTCATTCAGAGTGATAATTTCCCATTATTATTCCCAGAATATTCCATATTCCCAGTTTTACTTAAAAACATCCAACATAGAAGGGAGTGAAACTGTCTCAGTCTTCTGCAGTGAAAAGTTTGGACTTCATTCCAGGACTGCAGAGTTTTGTCAGTGAGCACTGATACATCTATGTCTCCGTGCATGTCTGTGTTCATGTATATGTCTGCATGTAATGGTGTCCGTAACCTGTAGGTGTGCATATGTATGTGTGTTTATGTATATGGTATATATGTACATACATCCTGGGGAACAAATAAATAAATATGTGGGCTTTTAATGGTTTTTAAGAGATGAGGCAAAATACCCTTGATAGTGAGCTTTGATAGATTGTGGTTCCCAGGGCAGGAGTGTAAATTTGCCTGGTGTTCCACCTGCTTAAACAATGCTGAAAATCTTGCATTCTGTTCCCAGCTCTTCCCTTGTTGTCTTGGACAAGCCAGTTCGCTGCTCTGTTCATGGCAATGGAAAGCTTAATTACTTAATGCTTATTAAAGTACTTAGATCTTCAGATGAAAGGTGCCATAAAAATGCAAACTATGATTATATACTTTGTGTGTGTACCTAGTAGCTATGGAGTCTATAATAATGTAACACCTAACTTTCGTTGTACTTTGCTTAACCTGCTGGCACAAGTTGTTAATGAGATATTGACAGATATGACATTAAAACAACACAGTGTTTTGGAACATAAACAAGAGGGGTTTGTTTTTTTCTTAATTGCTTACCTACATGAAAGTTAAAATGTCTTGTTACCTGTATTTGTCAATATTAAAACATCCAAGGCATGTTTTAACAGAAGGAGAAAAGCTCTGTTTTCTTGGTTCTTACTAGCAAGTACTTTTAACCTACTTTGATTCTGGAATCAGACACTTAAGGGCGTTTTGAATCTTATCCATTATATTTGAGATAGAAGAGCCATACAAGCAGAAGCAGAATCAAATGTGCTGGATTTTTTTCAAATGAGAGCTACTGACATTACATAGCAGGAGTAATAACCAACATGATCTGATGTTTAACTAATTTATAATGCAGCATCGTTGGCTCATTAAAGCATAAAAAAAATCTTTTTGTTGGATGGGTATAAACCTGGATTAATTCCAGGAAACTGAACATTCACATTCCATGGCAATATTCACTATTTACACCATAGAAAGGCAGCAAAATATGGCTAAGCATGTTTTATTCAAGTAGGCAGCATTTTATACCAGATCATTCTGCCACGATGCTGTATATACTCTACACAGTTCTCCAACTGGATTAAAAATACTTGTTTTTAAATGTCTGTCTCATGTTTTAAAAATAAAAATATTGCCTTCAGTATTAACCCCCCAACTGTTCTGTCCAGTCATCCATTTTACTCTGTTGTTTAAAATCAGGGGTTTTTTACTGTAAAAATTTTAGTGTCATCTTCCCACCTCATTAAAGCAAAGAACCTAATCCTAAACTGTCTAGGTACTGAAAATTCACACTGAAAGCAGTTGGAACTTTGAGTAAAAAAAAAAGAGCTCTTAGGCCCAAAATGTAAGTTAAATATACTGAAAGGGTTTCAGATGTAGCATCCATTCTTTAGCAAAACTACATATTGTATCATGTTCTGTTTAATGCACTGTTTGTTATTTTTTTCTTTCACTGTTTACAGTACTATTTACAAGCAATGTTTTTTAATTTTGTGCAAACTGGCACATAAAACAAAGATGTTGATAATGTTAATCATTAGGTGTTAGCTGCAGGTGGGCAGTAAACAATTTAGTGTGATTTGTCCCACTCTTATACTCTATTGTGAGAGCAATTCAGTGGAGGAAGCAATTCTGGAATTCAATAGGGTTTATGCTTTCAAAGTTTCATATAGATCACTGGATTTTCAGCTGGGAAATATGCATGTGTTAATGGCCATGGGGGTTCTTCTATTTGTTTTAGGGTTTGGTTTGTTTGTTTTTAATGCCATTGTGGTGCAGGTGAAATAGGAAAAAAAAAATACCTGAATCATACAGTACGTCTAGTATAATAGTGACTGTCTATACAGCTGAAAGAATAATTATTATAAGGGCATGCAAAACAATATTACTTTTAAAATATTCATTTATTTGTGAAGTGCAAATGATGTAAGCAGGGTAAAGCAATTACATTTCCAATTATTTGCTGTCTCTTGGCTAATAGCCATTGCATACCTTCTTAGTAATTTGATTTCTTTTTAATTAGCAGCTTTCTTTGTAGGCAAGAATGTTCAAAAAGTTGCACAAGGTCATTTTACCATCATGACTGTATTCACTTCCCCCATTCCTTCACCCTTAAAAAATCCCTGAGCTGAATTAAAAAAAAAAACAACAAAAAAAACCAAGTCAGTAGCAGATCATGCAGCAGTAAAACCTCAAATAGAATCGGATCCAAAGAATCCCTTTTGGCTTCACACAATATGGTAAAATTAGAGATTGCAGGAAACCAAAAAAATTTAACTGGGAACATTTGAAAAGAAATGACCAGGCTTTATGAAAATGACGCACTGACTGGCCAGTGTGTTTTTTTTATC